CCTGCTGTGCTTTCTCACTGAATATTACTAATCATAAAATAATTAACAGTAAGGTATAAAAATGTTGTTTATGGACTGCTCAGAATTTTATTTAGATCTTCTCTCACTATTAGCTTCCAGTGAAAATGCTGTCAGCCTCCCTCAGTGTTTTAATCACACTTTAGTGAAGACCATATCAGAAGAAAGCAAAAGAAGTTAGATGCAGGTTAAAGAATAATTGATATCAAAAGTTTTTCTTGACAAATAATGCAGCTGCTAAACAAATAATGTGTTTTGATATCTTGCATATATTAAAAGGCAGCAGTTTTTAAACCCCTAAAAATACTACTTGCAATAACATGTTTACATGCCTAACACTTTCAGGACAGCCTCCGATTTCATATGGTTGGTTGAAGGGTGTATGTGTTTAAGTGAGGAATACCAGGAAGCAGGAGGAGGAAAGTCCAGGCATATTTGATGATAGCTGACTCAGAAAGCATGGTGAAGGTAGGATTTGATGTACAAATGAAAATCATTTTACAGCAGACTTGCTGAACAATTTCTGCTTTCTCACCCTTCCACTCAAAAATATGCTGTATTAATATATTCTAGTTAACACTTTGTAAAGCTAATGAAACAGAGCTTCAATAAAACCGGCAAGCATCTGCTGATGCATAGTCTGCTTCACACATACTAGAAGCTTAGAGCAGGCTGCCTAGCAGAATGCGTTTTGTTCTGATGGAGCATCAAAGTATTTTCCTGATCTTAAGATCTGGTAAATTCTCAAGAAGCTTTTAATAATACAGTAGTTATGTGTTATCAATTCTTTTAAAAAACTCTTAATATTCACCACTTAGAGTCTAGTTTTAACCGACTACATTATTTCACTTAATGCATTATTGAGAGGTTTACTGTTCAGTAGACAGGTTGGGACCACTATGGTCCATCAAGTGGTCCATTTCTTAAAGATAGCAGTCTAGATAATGTCAAGAGGGTTTTCTAAACAAGATACTACAAAAAACTACATCATTATGACTGAAGCAATTGGTTTCATTTTAGGCAAAAATAAAGATACTACTCTCACTTGTTTAAATTGGTGTTCTCTAACCAACGTTTGTCACCAAACAATCAGTGGACAACAGCTTCACTTATTAAAAAGAAAACTGACTTGGAAGTAGTGTTCACTACTGCAAACAAGCACATTTTGGACTGGCCATGAAGAATAACAGCTTGATGGCTTCAGTCCTTTTAAGTCTTGATGGACAGCTTAAACAGCATTTTTAATAAACGTACACTGAACAACCATGACTTCATGCAGCTGCAAAAGCCATCCAGATGCATATCTATCACAGTGAGATAGCTATGCAGCTGCTCTGAGATTCACAGAAACGCTGTAATCAAATACTGTTAACTATCGCTACCGACTCCCTGTAATTAGTTTAGAAATAACACCTTCATCACTCAATATGACTAGCCTACTGGGATCCATGCTGGAAAACACATTACGCTTTGCAGAACCGTTATTAAAGCCAGCACTTTCAGATCGTGGATTTTTTTTTTTTTTTAAATTTTCCTCTGGGCAAGTTCTTCCTCCTCTCTTGTCAGAGCTCTCTAGGAAAGTCTGCAAAGCTCAGACAAAGGCCAACCACCTTGCAAAGGGAGGCAGCCGGCAGCAAACGACCGACGGCTGCAAAGGAAGCCTTACCTCCGTTGATGGGGACGGGAGCCACCAGCAGGCCCTTGACCTCCACCTTGGGGGAATCCTGCCCGTAGCGGCCGCGGTCGATCCTCAGCAGCGTGGGGCCGCCCCGCTCGGGGCTCAGCACCGTCACGTTGATGAGGGCGGTGTAATACGCCTGGCTGGCGTTGTCGGCGCCGGACGGCCGGACCCAGCAGTGCCAGAGCAGCAACAGCAG